CGATGTCGACGACGACGACCACGACGACGACGACTGACGGCGAACGGCTGCCGACGGCCGGCGACGACGACGTCCACGATTGACGGCGAACGGCGGCCGATGGCCGACGACAGACGATTGGTGACGACGACGGGTGGAAGATTCTTCCTTCATCGCTTTCGCTTCCGAACGATATCAAGTCATGCCATGCACCTCTTGGCCTGGCAGCACGCGAGTGAGCGCCTTTGGGGGCCTCTTGGCTTTGGGGGCCTTTTGGGGAGTTTTTGTGCGGGGCGAAGCTCTGCAGGGAGGGGTGTAGGGTAGGGGCGACGGCCAGGAGAAGGACGGGGGGGGGAGGGGAAGGAGGAGGGAGGGGGGAGGAGGGGGAGGGGAAGGACGAGGAAAACGAGGAGGAGGAGGAGGAGGAGGAGGAGGAAGGGGAGGGGAAGGACCCCCCTCTGGAGGAGGAGGAGGAGGAGGAATAGATAAGGAGGGCGAAGAGGACGAGGAGGAGGTGGAGAAGGAGGAGGAGGGTGAGGGACGAGGAGGAGGAGGAGGAAGAGGAGGGTAGAGGGAAGGCAGGGAGTTGGGAGGAGGGGGGAGGGGGAGAGAGGGAGGAGGAGGAGGAGTAAGAGGGAGAGGAGGAGGAATGAAAGGGGGGAGAGAGGAGGGGGAGGGAGGGAGGTGGAGGAGGATGAGGAGGAAGCCGAGGAAGAGGAGGGGGAAGGAGGACGAGGACCAGGAGGAGAAGGCCGATGCCCCCCTGGAGGAGGAGAAGATGGAGAGGCTGATGAGGAAGAAGAGGAGGAATGCCTCGCTCTGTTGGAGGAGGATGCATATGCAGATGGAGGTAAAGGTGAATATGATTATGAAGATACTGATGGCGAGGATGATGATGCTGATAATGATGATGATGATGATGATGATGATGATGATGATGATGATGATGATGATGATGATGATGATGATGATGATGATGATGATGATGATGATGATGATGATGATGATGATGATGATGATGATGATGATGCTGGTGCTGATGCTGATGCTGATGCTGATGCTGATGCTGATGCTGATGCTGATGCTGATGCTGATGCTGATGCTGATGCTGATGCTGATGCTGATGCTGATGCTGATGCTGATGGTGATGGTGATGGTGATGGTGATGACGATGCGAATGATGATGATGACGATAATGCTGATGATGAGATTAGTGGTGGTGGCCGGTTGGGATGGCGCGCGCATGAAAACGAAGAGGAGAAGCCAGGGAAGATGACTGAGTGGAGGAGGAAGATGGAGCGGAGGGTGTGAAACATACTTGGAGGACGAGGAAGATGAAGAGAGGGTGGAGAGATGAAGGATCATGGGCAAAATAATGATGAGGAGGACGAGGAAAGGGCCGAAGGGGGAGTGGTCTTGAAGGGGCTCCAAATCATTTGGAGTCGATTGAGGGTCCCTGGATGTCGTCGGCGTCGTCGTCGTCGCCCATGTTTGTTTCTTTTTGAACTTCGAGGGTTCAGGAGGTGTTTACGCGTTGTAGGCCTGCGGAGGCAGTTGTGCGGCCTTGGGACTCTGAAATATTGATCCAGCACGGAAAGCTGCGCCGGATGGACCCAGGGGGGGGTCCAGGGACCGATGTTGAACGGATTTTGTCGATTTCGAAGGAGGCAACGCCCACGTGGAGGTTCGATCTTGGATCCTCGAGGATCGAGGTGCGAGGCTCTGTCCTCGAGGGCCCTCCTCGTCGCCACGGAGGATCCGGGGGACCGGCTGTGAGATGGGGGGGGAAAGAGGAGGACGAGGAGGAGGAGGAGGAAGAAGAAGGGGCTGATGATGAGCCTCACCGTGCTTGGGTGGTGTCGTAGGGCTCTTCAGTGTTCGTTAGGATCTCGTGGGGGGTCTCTCGGGGGCATCATGGGTACAGCTTTGAGACATCCTGGGGGCCGTTGTGGGGACCCATCGGGGCCTCTTTTGGGCCTCTTGGGGGTCTCTTCTGGACCTTCTAGGTCCTGCTAGGGGACTCTTGGGACCTCTTGGGACCCTCTTGGGCGCCTCTTGGGGGCCTCTTGGGGGCTTCTGGAGACCGAGGGCCCGAAATGTCCATTCGGTTCCCCGTCTGGCTCCCCTCTTGGAGCCGTCTTGAGAGCCTCTGGGGCCGTTTTGGGGGGTTCATGGGCAGTCTTGGGGCTCTCTTGGGCCGTCTTGGGGCCATTTTGGGAGCCTCTTGGGCCGTCTTGGGGCGATCTTGGGGGCCTCTGGAGCCGTCTTGGAGCCGTCTTGGAGCGTCGGGAAGCCGAAAAGGCGGGCAGGCCAGAATCCTTCCAAAACCATACTAAAATCGCTGATTTTGGCTTCCAAGGGTCCTCTTCTGAGAACTATTGGAGGCTTCTTGGAGCGTGTCGGTGACCTCTTGGGCCGTCTGGAGGTCATCTTCGGCGTCTTGGAGCGTTCTTTCGGCGTCTCGGGGGCTTCTGGGGCCGTTTTGTGGGGTCTCGGGACCCTCTTGACCCGTCTTGGGGCCCTCGTGGGCCCGGAAAAGCACCCCCCGTCTCCCCCACCTCCGCCCCTTCCCCGGCAGAGCCCCCCCGCCCCCCCCCCCCAGCAGAGCTGAACCCAGGCTCGAGGCTGTAGGCTGCAGCTGAGACTTTATTAAACTCACACGCCAGATCGGCGGATATAGCCACATCAACCTCCCGCCCGCCCTCCCTCCACCCTCTTCGGCTCCTCCCCTCTCTTTCCCCTGCCCCCTCCCTCCTTCATCCCCCTCCTTCTCCAGCTCACCCCCCTTCCTTTTTCTTCTCTCTCCTTCACATAGCTCCCCTTTTTTTTCCGACTGCGCATAACACGAAGTGGTCTTTTTGTGTGAGTCGCAGGTCGGCTATGACGCGTCAGCGGATGGAGAACAATCAGTGCCATGGGAAGGGAAGGGAGGGAGGGATGGGATGTGAGATGAGGCGCAAGCGCACCGAACCTTCCTTCTTCCAAGGATCGACCGCAACGCTGTTTAGCTTTGTTTGGGCCCTTGCTTTCTTTTTCGAATCGTTATTCGTTGTTCTTTCGTTGTGTTGTTCGTTGGTGTTTTAACCGCCCTGGGTCGTCGTCCGTTTTCGTTTGGCACCGGCTCCCTTGTAACTAACGTTCGTCTTAAACGTTGGGCCTCGCTTCGTTGTTCGTTGTGGTCGGTCTCTCGCGCAAGCGCACCTAGCTTGCCTTTTTCCTATCTCCCCGTTTCTCTCCTCCCCCTCCACCTGCGCGGCCAGAGTTTCGAGGCGGATCCGGCCGCGGCGACGCGGCGCTCGGGGCGGCCAGGGAGAGGGTCAACGACACGGCCCAACTCTCGCGCTCCCGACGTTCCATCCTTTGGCTGCGATCCTCGCGCAGGAGAGGCCGCTCGTGTGCGGAGCACATGTTCTTGGCGTCGCTCGGACGTGTGCACTTTTCCCTACCTAGGCTCTGCCTAGAAGGGTTCTTACCGTGTAAGCTTAAGGGGCCGGGCAGTGCAAATCGCGGCATCCGCCCCGTGGTTCCCCCAGTGACGTTCCTTTAGCTTAGCGTTGCTTATCTCATCTTAGCTTAGCTTATTTCATCTTAGCTTAGCTTAGCTTCATCTTAGCTCAGGTTTATTCCCTACCTAGGCTCTGCCTAGAAGGGTTCTTACTCTCTGTGCTTAAAGGGGCCGGGCAGTGCTACCCGCCCCGGGCGGTTCCCCCGGCATCCGCCCCGCGGTTCCCCCAGTTGCGCCCCCTGGATTCAGCCAGCTTAGCTTAGCTTAGCTTATCTCAGCTTAGCTTAGCTTAGCTTTGCCTAGCCTAGCTTAGCTTAGCGCAGCGCAGCATAGCGCAGCGCAGCATTAGCACAGCATATCATTGCATAGCATAGCCAATCATAGCATAGCATAGCATAGCATAGCATAGCTCAACATAGCATAACATAGCATGGCATAGCATAGTATAGCGCAGCATATCACAGCATAGCATAGCATTGCTTAGTATAGCACCGCGCCGCATAGCATATCATAGCACAGCATAACATAGCATAGCATATACTAGCATAGCGCAGCATAGCATAGCATAGCAGAGCATAGCATAGCATAGCATAGCGCAGCATATCATAGCATATAATTGCCTACTATAGCATAGCATAGCATAGCGCAGCATAGCATATCATAGCATATCATAGCATATCATAGCGCAGCATAGCATATCATAACATATCATAGCATAGCATAGCGCAGCATAGCATAGCATAGCATAGCCTAGCAACATACAGCGCAGTCGAGCGTACCCTAGCATAGCATAGCATAACATAGCATAGCGCAGCATAGTGCAGCACAGCAAATCATAGCATAGCATAGCATTGCGCAGCATAGCATAGCATAGCATAGCATAGCATAGCATAGTATAGCATAGTATAGCAGCAAAGGCGGGGACCATCGAGGAGCATCCTGGATCATCTGGCGGACAAAAAAACACGCACGAAACCGAACAATGCACGGGGAATGGACGTCCGAGCAATGGCGAGTGTTCGTATTCGTCTTCCTTCCTTCCTAACGCCACCGTTGTCAGGTCTCCATGGGCGAGCAGATGGCAGATCTGTCACGACTGGGTACCGCTGCCCACGGCCTCGCGGGCCGCGCCCCCGTGGGCGGGGGGCATTTTTTCGCGGATGCCCCGCGCGGAGCACATCCGTGCGACCGCGCATCCTCGGGGTCGCTCCCCGGGGTCCAGATCGCGGGGGCGTGCAGATGGGTGCGTTTGCCGCCCGCTCGTGAGTCGTGCCGACGGTCAGACAGCGCCTTCCTCTGCAGGGCACTCCAAAACAGGGACGTCGAGGTGGTAAAACGCCTCGCCGGTGAAGTGGACGAAGAAATGCAACATCCAACCGTTTGGTGATGTCCATTGGTGCATCACTTTCAGCTCGACTGAGCAGGTTGTTTGCGCCCCTTGACGTCCGTTTGAGGTGTTCTGCAGACCTGACCCCAATCCCCCAGCCCCACTCCCCTCCCCCCCCGGGCTGCCGAGGCGAAACAGCTCCAGGCGGCCGCTGGCGACGTGGCCAGGCGGAGCGGCCATGGCATCTCCGCCAGGATCAGGGAGGCGGCCAGGCGCGGTGCGCCAGCGATCCTCCTCCAAGGGCAGAGGGACGAGCATAGCCATTTTGGCTCACGGCTCAAGCCTGCGATCTAGGGTTTGAACCTTGGTCGCTGCCGACGGGGAGGCTCAGGCGATCGGGCATAGGGCCCGTATTCACTTTATGGCGTGCTGATTGCACGCGTCACCTCACATTATGTGTGACGCCAGCAACGATGGTCAAGCGCGGAGGCAGTCGTAAGCAGCGCGCCCAGGCTTCGGACCCGCTGTCCCCGCGCCCTGGCAGGAGTCCTTGCACGACCCACCCGCGCAGGAACCCATCGGCGACACCCAGCTTGTCGCGGAGTCGTAGCGATGGCACGGGAAGTACAGAATCGGGCAGTACCAATTCGCTACTCAAACAGAATGCGTTCCAGATGACCGCGCACACGCAGGAGGCACAGCAGCTCCGCAATGATGTGCAGGCTTTGTGTATTCAGACTACTTCGCAATTGGGAGAGTCGTTCTTGATCCCAAGAGAGCATACCAATCATTCTCTATAGGCGACGGAGAAGTTCGTCCACGATCTGAGGGGCGTGTTCGGGGCCCGTCTCACGGCAGTGGAAGCTTCCCCGCTGCAGCAGACACCCCACGGCGGTGGATGTGGAAGGGGTGAACAACCAGGCGCGGGAAAAGGTAATCCAGATCGAGAAGAAGCTCGCGGCCATGACCGAGGGAACGCCCCGTGGTGAAGGCCGTGAAGGTGGTGGAGGTGAGCAGCATGCGCAGGACGGCACGTGTCGTCTCATCTTGGTTGGCTTCGAGACGCAGCTCATGGGGCGGACTTTCCGTCGGGCAGCGGAGAGGGTGCGCGTGGCATGTGCGCCTCAGGCTGAGCAGGGTAGCGCCACGATCCAGACTCGATCTGTCACGAAAGGCGGTCTTCGAGCTCCCAGCAGCTAGCAAGTTCAGATATATCCTTCGTATATCTACTAACGGTGGGCCTTTTCAGTTCCCGAGTCCGATCACACCAGGTGCGACGCATGACTTGAGGTTGAAGAAGGACATCAGCGCGCAGGGAAGGCGCCTGTTCATGGTGATAGAGAATGTTCGGAAGGTGATCCTGGAGTGCCTGGATGGCGGGCCGCTGCGAGGTGGGCCCCGACGGCTTCGGCGACGGGGCGTTTGCCGCGCGTTCGGAGGAGTGCCCGATCATGGCGGCGCAACTGAAGATGGGCAGAGATAGCACCCATCACGCGATTCAGGAGCAGGCCTCCTTGGAGTTCGGGATCCAGCAGGCGCTGCCGAAGGCGGGCGATGCCTTAGTCGCTCCTTCTTGAGCTTGAGGCGTCCAGCCCTGACGCGCTGACAGACTTCGCCGTTGCGCCGTCGCCTGCCGCCGTGGCGCGCCGGCGCGAAGATGCGAGCGACGACGGGCAGCAGGCGGCGCATTGCCCGCAATCTACCGCTTTGTCTTTTTATTCTGAACCCTTGCATGCCTGAGAGACAGATTCGCTTTCAGAAATGATGTCTGAGATTGTAACATATGGCAGACCAAATAGGGGCCCCGAGGGTTGATCCTGAGGCTCGAGGTCGCCCGCGCGGCCCCCCCCTCCCCCGCGTCGGCTGGCACGTGGAACGCCAGTGGGTGCTTTGGCATGATTCGCGCGGGTAGTCCAACATGCGCAATCACATATTCGCATGCGCTTGCTTTGCGTCGGAAGTGCGACGCGGCGCGCCTGCGAGAGCGCCGCCCGCGGCCATGCGAGGGAGGGCGAGTCGACGCTGCAGCAAGTGAGTGGCGCTGCGACCGGCGCCGGCCCCCTACTTGCTAGCGCTGCTGATGGAGCGGCCACAGTTGGCAGCGCTCGGCCCCGCGCGCAGTTCACAGCGACAGATCGCAACGTTGCGTCTGACGGGCGCGTCGTGGCCGCGCAACATGTTTGTTCCGCTCGGGTTGCTCGCGCCCGCGAATTGTCGCGCGCCGGATGCGAATCGGGCGCTGCGGGCCCATGGCCGCGCCTTGCGCGGAATCGCACGGGCGTTTCCTAGCTGCGCCCGCTCACTGAACGCGACCGCGGGTGATTGGAACTTCGCTCCGCGGGGGGGGGCGCGTGGCGGAGGGCGGGCAGACTTGGGGGGATGGGGGCGGACAGCGTCGCGGCATCTACGGCGCGAGCCGACGCGTCTTGGCTAGAATGCTGAAGCGGCGCAGCGGCGAGCGCCCCGATTGCGTGGGATCCCCCGCGCGCTCCTCTGGCTGACTGCAGCGTCGTTGCGACGCCGCGTGGGCCCTCGGAGAATCGCCCGCCCGACCGCGGGCCGCGCGCGTTCACGATTCAGAAGTTCGATGCCGGACATCGGCGTTGTCAACCGGCGCCGCTGCGCCGGTCGCCCGAGTTCCAGGCGCGCGCTGCCCAGGTGATCCGGGCTGCCACCGTCGGCGGCTACGCGGCGAGCGCAGCTGGCGAAGGAGCGCGCGTGGGCGTTGTTCCTGAGGTTCGGAGAACACTTCGACCCGGGCCTGCGCGGGGCCCCGCTGCAAAAAATTGCCGGGCGATGCGCGCGTTTCGGGGCGCGCGGCGCGGCCAGTTTCACTCGCGCGCGCGCGTTTGTTGCGCGCGCCGAGCTGGGCGCGGCACTTTGACGTCGAAGCCGTCGCTGGCGCCGATTTGCCGAGCTGCGCGCGCGGGCCAGCTGTAAGTTGAGCGCGCCGAGCAACAGGAGAGGCGCGGACGGGGTGGCAGCCAGGGGTCAGCAGCGCATCGGAGGAGGAGAGGGGCCGCGTTCAAAACAAGCTCCGGCGTCGCAAACTCTTCCAGCAGCAGTTCCGACGACGAGTGTTCATGATTTGCGTCCGTGCTTCTGACGGCGCGGTTCGCGATCGCGCCGAAGTAGGCGGGCGCCGCCTTGCCGCGGACTGGGGTCGAGCATGTCGGGCAGCTCTCACGGATCGCGCGCCGTGGCCTGAGCTGCTGCTTTTCTGCAGCTGAGGCGAGGGCGCTGGCCCGCGGCGACGACCCGAGTGGAAACTCGAGCCCGGTGAGTTTGAAGGCCGCGCGACGTGGAGGCGCCGCTTTGCTCCAGGGAAGGGCGGCTTGCCCTGCGCAGCCTGGCAGGCGGAAGGCGGGTCTGATTCATCCCGAAGTGTTTCCGAGGACCTATGCGACGACAGGTGTGCGACGCTGCCTGATAGTATGCGCGATTTGCGTTAACCATTCTTGCCGAAGAGCACGGGCCCTGATGGCGCGGCGCAGGGTGCTGCGCGGAGCCCCGATGGGACTTGGCCGCATGTTCTCTGCGACTCCGATGCCGAGGTAATATCCCCAGCCTTCGGCGCTCCGCTCAATGCCCTTGCTGGTCTGACGGTTCGCGGGGGCCAGAGGGGCGGGGTTGCTGGGCATCAGATCTTCGGACATCGCCATCGCAGATGCGCGTGGGGATCAGCGCTATCTGGATGGCGCGCCACGCGCTCTTCAGCTGCCGACAGACTGCGGCTGCCTTTCCTTCGGTTCACATGGCGCGAATCCCCGCGGCGTTGGCGCGCATGGGCGCGCGCCGCGCCGTTCGCGCCCTTGCGCCGATCTCTACTCGGGCAAAAAGGTGTCGATCATGTTTTTGCTGTGAGTGGGTGTGTGTGCGTGTGTGTGTGTGTGTGTGTGGGGGGGGCATTGGGTTTCATCATTGTTGTTGGGCGAGGAGCGCGACGGGGGGGGCCCGGCAAGCGCGCGTCTGTTTGCGCTGGCTGCGGACCCGATTATGATGTGGTTGCTCCGCCGAGGTAGCCAGCGCATGGACCGATTACCCGCGCACTGAGACGACGTGATTTTGTTCCCCGCCGAATGCGCTCCTCGGCCTGGGACCGACCCTGGATTTACTGATTGCCATGGACGGCCCAGTTGGGCTCAAGCTGAATTTGAAAACGTGCACTCTCGATTATTGGCAACGCCTCGGTGACGACATTTCAGGATTTTGCCTCTTCGCTCGGGCTGCCTTCCGCGATGTAGTGATTGTTCGGTTCGCGAAGTACCTGGGCGTTATGGTCGGGCCCGATAGGGGGGGGGGCCATGCCTGGGGTGGCATCATCCCTCGGTTGCTGAATCGGGCCCTGGATGTAAAGGAGGCCGGCTTGGGACTGACTGTCAGTATGCGGACATTTCACGTTCCGTGCCTGTCGTTGCTTCAGCATGTGTTGCAGTTCTACCTTCCGTCACTAGCCCTGCAAAGTGCATGCTAGCAATGTGCGCAGATGCTGGCGAAGGGGCCTTGGAAGTCGATCCCGAAGGAGTCATTGGAGGGTGTCATGATTTGTGGGAGGGGTCCAATAGCGCCACCTGCATTATGTCAATCTTGTCGCTCGCGCAGGCTGCTTTGCGCACTGTGCTGAGTTTCGTGCTGAGCTTGAAAGAGTTCGCGCGTCTCTAGTCTCAGATGAGTGCATCCTTGTGCGGTGACACCGAGGATGATGGAAACACTCGAGTGTATACCATATGACGGATGGTTACGGCTCCCGACTTCCCGCTCTGCTGAATTTCCCACCCACGATTGCTCGGAAGGCGTATCAACGTAAATGGCATGACCATTTGAAGCGCTGGCACCCGAAGCCTGAGCTTTCGGCGATCGAGATTCCCAGCCTGCGTCTTACAAAGTGGCCCCCTGTGGTTGACCCCGACAGGTTCCCTAGCATGTTGTGGAGGCCCCGGGTGCTTCGGACAAGAGTCAGCCCGTACCTTGCTGTCGCCATGATTTGGATCGCCTGCTGTGGCCAAACACTGTATTTTCGGTTGTCGAGCCTGTGCTGACACGGATAACCTACGACGCTACACCGTCTGCCCGCGGATGTTTTCTGGGGTATTGCCAGACATTCTTGGGCATGGTCATGATTGGTTGTCCAACATTTGTTCTCACTTTCCGCCTGAGTGAAGAAATCGAAATTCGTTTTGCTAGCCTGCGTAATGGTTCTTATTTCACCCACAGTGTTGTTAGAAAGGGTTCCCGCGTCAGCCTCCCACAGTTAATTGAATGAGAATTCGAGCCCACTATCGCCGCCACCCCGCCGTCCAGGCAGCTTGGAACCGGGGTCCTGGAGTGTGCCGTTGCAGCGCTGATTGGATGTAGTGGATGCCACATGATTGCGGAAAACAAGAAATGGTAAATTGTGTTCCGGCCTGTGCTAGTAGTCCCTCCAGTTCTTGCTTAGATTGCTTCCCGACAGAGGGATGCGAACTGAGTTTGACACCGGCGGGGGTTCCCGGAAATGCGGGCGTCTTGACTTGGTGGACACCGGGAAAGGCCGGCGCTGGGCCACCTTCGGCCTCCAGGGGCCCTCCTCGACGCGCTCCGGGACCGTCACAAACGACTCAACACGGTAAACCAGCCTTATAGGGAACTGGTCTGACCTCCAGGGGCCCACGCGTCGAAAAAAAACTGGAGCGCCGGATTTGATGCAGGGGGATGGGCACGGGGGCCGGAGGAGAGCGCGAAACACTGAAGGAAAAGGTCGAGCTCATCCTCGAGGACCTCCTCCTTCCTCCGCCCCTCCTCGGCCGCCCTCCCCAGCTCCACGGCCTCGTCCTGCGTAAGGCCGTACAGCGCGAGGTCGCGCGGAGGTCGCGCGTCAGGTCCGTCGCTGGGATCTCACGGTAGGTCGAAGGTACGGGGACCCGAGCTGGTTTCGGGGGCGTTTGGAGGCCGCGGGGCCAGGCGGCGAGGACCAGGGCCCAATCTCCCTGGTCCTCGATGGAGGGAGGCCCCACATACAGTCGGAACGAAGTATAAGATCGAGGTCGGTCCGGGGAGGGTGCCCCAATGCTCTTTGTGCTTGTTGGATGCTCTTGTGCATCCTGGGGAGGGTGCCCTTGCATATTCTGTGTGTTTTGGCAGGCGGAGGGTCGCATGTTCTTGAGAGGTGTTCTTCTGGCATGGGTCAGACTGTAAGCCAAGCAAGCGTAAACACCATAACTGATTCTTAGATACAACATCATTTTGCGTCTCTGGCCACAGATAGGCGGCTTGCATTCATGACGGAGGTTGTCACGCTTAGACTCTGTGTATGCGCCATGCAGCTGCAGCGTGTGTGAAACACACATTGAATCATGAAGGGTTTGACCGTCCTCTAGTTCTCCCTGCTCAACCAGGTGACCTCTCTGACGCCACGTAGAAACATCTGACGGGATCTCGGGGCTGCTCTGAAGCTCGGACCCACAGGGCATAGGGGGAAGCAAGGGAGCGGCCCCATCCTCGGCTTCCTCCATGCGGCTCGCAACCCCCGCGCCGCTTCTAGAAGGGAGGCCAGGGATGGGATCGAGAAGAATGTGGCCTAGCCGTTCCAATCCAGAGCGGTCCTGCAGCGCCAGCTCTCTGCACTCGGCTTGTTGGCTTGGACAATAGAAGGATGGAGGAGGAGCGCGAGGATGATGATAAGGAGGAGGATACTAATATCGAATACAAGCAGGAGGAGGAGGAAGAGGAAGAGGAGGAGGGGGAGGGGGAAGAGGAGAAGGAGGAGGACCAAAAGAGGAGGAGGAAGGAGGAGGAGGAGGATAGCGAATGAGAGGAGGAGGAGGAGGAGGAGGAGGAAGAGGAGGAAGCAGGCGGCGGAGCAAGAGAGAAGCAGACGGAGGAACAAACGAAAGAACACCAGGAGGAAAACCATAATGTACCCAACGTGTATGCACAAGTGCTGCATTACCGTCACACCCTTGCGTCCCAAGCACCTTTCTTGTATGCCTCGACAGACCTTTCTCCTCACTGCAAGAGATGCCCCTTCGAGAGACGAGACAACTGTGGGCCTGCCATTCATGTGGGAACCCCGCTGCGATAAGGAACATACGTGCTCCCTTCCAGCGAACAGGAAGGAATGCACAAGGATCTGATCACACTGTTCATTGAGGCATTCAGCGGGAGTCACGCGGTGACAGGAACCGCCGTGCGGCTGGTGCGCACGCTGGCGCGCTGTCGTGCGAGAGCCCCATTTCGCCAAGGAATCGCCCCTCCTGGCTCCCCCTCCTCCCCCTCCTGCCTCCCCATCCTCCTGCCTCTGGCCTCTTCCTCCCCGTGAGGTGGGCGCAGAAGCGCGCCACCTTCGGCAGGGCAGTGTTCGACTCCTCGCGGTCCGCATCGGAGCAGGCGCCAGCGCGAGACCTGGAGGACTTTGACCGGAGGCTGGCGGCGAAGGGGGGGAGAGTCAGAGCCCTGAGTCCTCAGGGCTGGGGGTGGTCAGGGGTAGCTCATGATTCGTGCCTCGGGTGCCCAAACAGGAGTTGTCCTGGCCTGGAATGGTCCAACAAGTTTCGGGCGTCGAACCTTTCCCGAATCAGCGGGGCTGGGGATGGTCATGGGTAACTCCTGTCAGCATCGTTAAACCGACCCATACCCCCATTCGCATCCCATCCCAAGCCCGACGATCTCGCACCCCATTGGGGAATGTACTCCTCGAGACGAAGAGGACGCAGCCTATACCCCAATCCATGGGGGGTTAAGCGGCCAGTGGGGCCCAGGCCAACGCCGGTGGGGATAGGGGCCAGTTACACGATGCTCAGGGTCGTGCGCCGGGGCCCCAAACGGAGTTACCTCGGACAGGAGTTCTCGGAGGACGCGTAATGGAGGGGCAGTACATGAGGGCGCAGCGAGGGGTGAGAGGGTGGCGGAGGCGGAGGAAGCAGGAGCCTCATACCCTCAGCATCGCGAGTGAGAATTTGAATTCGAAGAGACGAAACATGCATACGGACCTGCTTTTCGGGCCCGAGAAGAATCTCAAACAGCGACGCGCGACGAGGAGGATGGAGGATCGAGGATGGAGCAGGAAGCGGACGACGATTGGGAGGATGAGGAGGAGGAAGCGAAGGAGGAGGAGGAGGAGGAGGAGGGAGAGCAGGAAGAAGAGGGATATCAGGAGGAGGAGGGAGATCAGGAGGAGGACGAGGGGGAGCAGGAGGAGGAGGAGAGGGAGGACGAGCAGGAGTGAGGAGGGACAATTAGGATGTGGATGAGGATGAGGTGGAGGCGAAGGGAGAAAGGCAAGGGAGAACGATGAGTGATGAAGAGGAGTTGAGTGGAGTGGACGCCGTTGCGGATGCAAGTTCCACGATCATCAATTCACTAAGCTTCCCGACTCGGAAGGTTTCCTGATCGTCTGGCAGCATGTTCTGCTCCGCGAAAGACTTTGGGGTGCAAACCTCTACTGATCCTGTCAAGGTATTCCCGTCCAGTTCTGGAAGTCTTAAACTGTCGAGGGGCTTTCAACAGCTTCTTATCTGCGACCGCCCCGCATGTAGGACAGAACCACACCTGAAGGCACATGTGTACATGCAGTGTGTGTATCATGTGCCCCGCCCCCCATGCTGTGAATTCTACCCACTTTCATATATGAATAACAATGCCCCATTTACACCATGTAACCTCGGGCACGCCACCATGCTCAGAGGCACCGCCTTTTGCAGTCAGCTAAGGTGCGTCGGGAGAGAAGAGCCGCAGGGGAGGGGGAGGGGGAAGTGGCGGTAAAACCTCAACTCCGCTAAGTTGATCCAATTTCTCAGACTGTTTAGTGGCCGCAATACTGTCCAGTGATGCCCTCAACAGTCACATTCTGATCAAACATGCTCGGCGCGCGTGCAAAACGACACGCGTGCGAATGTTCTCGGCCAGTCTACACTCTTCGGCCGCATATCCCGCCAACTCGTCTGCGATAAGGCTGCCCAGGTATCACAAGGCTCCGGAAGCTGTTACCTGCAACAATGCCTGCCACCGTCTGGTGCGAGTGAGCCCAGAGAACCACAACCTTACCGACACTCCTATCACGCATGAGGTCTCATATTGCGCTCCATTTTCCTTCGTCGTCGCCGTCAGGGTGGGCATATCGGCAATCACCCAATCGTTTGGCGACCAGCTTGCAATCCGTGACGAACGTTAAGAAATCCGAGGTACACCACAACGCAATATACAAAGCCATCAGTTCTCCGCGCGCCACAGCCTGACGATGGCCCACCATGGGCTCAGATGCCGTTGCTTTATCTTGGCCTCTGGGGGGATGGCCGTAAGGCATGCTATAGCAACTCCAAATCTGCTGATTTTGTACGATGAGGAGTCAACCTTTCCCGACGCATCCCCGAATATGCGCTATCACATCCTGGTCCCAGCACGTCCTGTTCGATCCCATCGAGCCTTGTAGTTCCTTCTTCTCCCACAGTCGGTGGATCAGGAACTCCAGCCCAGCTAGACGGTATCATACCAAGCAACCAACAAGCTTCACATGGAATTATGTGTATATGCTTGTGCCACCATGTCTTGGGTACGATCGTACGATACAGCTCCGCGGTTGTTTTTCAACATTCTGTGTGTACGTCCGTGCGTGCAGTGTTTGCCAATGCATTTGCGCGAAGAGAGTGCTGTCACAAAGGCCGCGGTTTTGCGTGCCATTCGTGTGTACGCCTTGTACATGTTGCACGACGCTGTCTCACATAGCATGAATCTCCGCGCTGATTTGGACGGCATGTTCGGCGAGTTCGTTCGCGATGGCATCCGCGGGGCTCCTCGGGCCACCGCGCTCGTCGCAGCCGCCCGCAAAAGGTCCCGAGCCTGATCGTTCTCGGCTGTGCCCCCCTTCTCCTCTGCTGGCTCTTCGTCGTCCGCCTCATCTCTTTCTCTCTCTCTCTCTCTCTCTCTTCTCTCTGTCTTTCTCTCTCTCTCTCTCTCCGTCTCTTCTACAGGGCCTGGTCAGCCCTATTGTCTCACGTTACGCTTCGCATCATTTCACTCTCGGCAGATATGCTTTCGCTCGGCCTGGGAGCTGATAGAATTACGGCGCGTAGCTGAAGCTACGCAGTACGTATTCTTATCGCGTGGTTGGCCGAGGTGTCTGGCAGTGTCAATTTCGCAATTCCCCGGATGTGTGCAACGGCTCGCTTATGGCAGGTTGGCTTGAGCGTTGCTCCAGGTGTTTTAGTGTTCTCCTCCGCTCTTCATTCCTCCTTTCTCCTTCCGTGGTGAATGTTTTGCTTGGCCGTCGAGGCTGTGCAATGCGGGTCTGTCCAACATCAGTTTTGGCAGGACAGGGGATGATACGTTTTAGGACTAATTCGCATCCCTGCCGCTTGCACAATGTATTAATGCCGTCCCGATGTTCTGATACGGGGGCCTGTCGGGCCCTTGTCTTACTGGACACCCCACAGTTTGCTCCCAACCCTTTTTGGCGGTGCAGTGCGCGTTGACTCTGCACGTTGCATCGACTATCGACCATTTGCCCTCTTCTCGCGTCGTGTCCGGTTGCCCGCGTCTTGTCTCTTCTCTCGGCGCGTGCGTTTTTCAAAAAAGAAGAAGTTGGTTTCAACATTCTCAAAATCTATGACATAGTGTTTCAGCCTTCCGCTTACATCTGTCACACGTATGGCTTCCGTTATATAGTTTAAAAAGCCTATCCAGTTTCTCTGTTCATTCCAACATCCCCCAACCCGATATTTACCATGAGCTCCCCAAGTTGGGTTCCATTCGACAGTTCGTTGTGGCATTTCAGTAATATGTGATATGAAGTCAAATCGGCCCCCTCTTCCAGCCGACCACGGCCGTATTGTTTCGAAGTTTGGCGCCAATTGAGCCGTGTCGCTGAACCCGCTACATCACGCAGCAGGTCCCGATGATGGTCAACGGCTGGGTGCCCCACATACACTGAATCAGGGATGGGTCATCATTCGACCGAGCCCTGCCGCGAAACAAAAGACCATATAGTTGCTGCCTGTGCGTGCCGCCCCAGTCTGAGCAAGTTCAAAATCACAGCTGATATGGGCCTCACACTCCAGTTGGTTTCGCGGTTCCTTGACCGTGAACTCCGTCACCATGTTGGCCCACACGTGTTTGAAGTTCGTTATCAGTTTTGGGTGGGCGTGCGTCTTTTTGAACCACTGGCCGATGCATTACTTCGGACAGAATTTTGTCGGGTTTACTTGCGGCGCTCGGATCTCCAGTAGACTCGTAAAGCACTTGCCCCTGGTCCCCGCAGCACACGTTGGTCCCAGTCTACGTGTGTAACGCAGCAGATGTTGGCCAAATGCTCCATGCATTTGGTGACCATATGTGCTAGCTTCCTGTCTTCACCACGCCCCACCTCATCTATACTTCCGTATCGATTTGAGGCTCTGGTGAGTTTCTTAATGTTGCCATTCGTCTTCGCATGTTTTCCATCTCCTCGCCGCCGAGTCGCCCGCCCAAGGCGGCCGCAACTAAAGTCAAGAACGGTCGCCCGATAAGCAATGCGAACAGGGGAACCATGCGTCTCCACTGCCTTCGCGATTGCTTGCGCGTTCTGAAGCGTCGTACGTTTAATGCTTGACTTTTCTCTCTTTGGACCCCCGCTTTGGCCAATTCTTGCCCCGTCTTAACCACGCTTATGGTGCGATTCTCTCTGACGCCTGCCTGGGGCCCGCCGTTCGTTGTGAAGCATCGCCAATCCGCGCCCGATGGCCATGCGTGGCGTCGCCGTAGTTACCGTCATCATCACGAAGTGTGCGATTGGCAAATCGGGTGCCACCCCGAGGTCTTTGAACAATTGATTGGCATGGTTTGGAAGGGTCCGGCGCTGCCCCCTCGTGCTCGTCGGCCCGCGTGGCCACGCATTGCGGCGGGTCAAGGTACAGCGCCGCCGGGGGCATTGTGAGCCCGGAGGCCGATCCCGCGAGCCGCATCCATGGCATTGCGTCGCAAAGCTCCTGCGCGTCGAAAAGTTGATTTCCGACCTGCATTTTTATAGAGGTTGCGAGCTTCTCGTCGACGGCCTGCAGGGAGGCCCCCTGCAGGCGCGAGTTGCCTGCTAAAGCCGCGCCCCGCGATTGCGCCTCCGCCGCCGACCAGCGCCGCGCTGGCGGTTCGCGGGCGAGGGGCCGCGCCCTCCCCCCTTGGCATCGACTAGGCCGAGGGCACTGTCCCCTGTCGACTTCTTAAACGCGAGCTTGCCCGCCACCAGCGACGTCGGCATTGGCCTTGCTAGCGGGCGCTCGATGCCCTGCGCCTGGAGGGCCGGCGCTGGCAATCGCTGATAGTCCACCAGTGTCAACGCATCAACTGCCATTCCCGCATTCGCTTTCATTGTGGCGGCGCTTGCATATACGCGCTCGGGTCGGATGGACGCCGGCCGTTCAAGCGCCGCAGCACGTCGCGCGAGCGGGGGCGCCTC